TTTTTTTATTATTTGATATATTTTTATTATTATAGAAATTTAACCTTGTTGTATATACATAAAAATATATTTTTTTAAATTTTAAAGTTCATTTATATTTTATATATTTTTGGTTATTTCTTAAATATCCTATATTTATTTATATATTTTATTTTCGTCTTTTATATTTATTTATTATTATTTTCATTCAATTTTTTTTTCTTTTTTTTCTGTGTATATTATTATTATTATGTATATTATTATTATTTAATCTAAAATAATTTATTTATTTATTTTTTATTTTTCATTTAAATATCTAATTAAAGTAATGTACATTTTTGTATATCTTAGCAAATATTTGTTTTTATTTTTCATTATTTTTTCATGATAATTATTTATTACATATTTTTTTTTTAATTATTTCGTATTTAAATAAATGTTTACAATATTTTTTTTTATAGTAAATTGATACCTACCATTTTTTTTTAAATATATATTTTTTTTATTTATTTCAATTTTTGAATTATTTGAATTTATTTTTTATTTTCATTTTTAAATCAATCTTAACCTTAATCCACTAGCTGAAATTCCTAATTGCTGCTATCAAGCCTGAACTGGTTCAGACCTCTCAGCCATAACATTAATTATTAATTAAAATAAGATTTTTCCAAATGCTCTTTTCCCAATTCCAGTGTCACGCCTTCATTCCAATTCAGTGGCTCCATAAATTAGTGGAGTCGCCCCCAAGTGAAGCCAACAGTCGAAATAAACAGCGATAAGCTCTAATGCCATTTGTTTTACAATTTAGATTCGCGCATTATCGATAGCCGCTGAAGGCATATAATGGGTCGACAGACCTTGGGCCACCCTTAGTTCAAAATGACCAGTTGGGCTAGCATTGCGTTTGTTCTGGGCCTGGGCCTGTTGGCCGTCGATGCGTCTGCTCCCTGGTGGCAGACGGCCTCCTTCTATCAGATCTATCCGCGCTCCTTCAAGGACAGCGATGGCAATGGCATTGGCGACCTGAACGGAGTCACCGAGAAGCTGGAGTACCTGAAGGAGATTGGCGTGACAGCGACGTGGCTGTCGCCGTTCCTGCGCTCACCCATGGCGGACTTTGGATATGATATTTCGGACTTCAAAGAGGTCGATGAGCTCTTCGGCACCATGGAGGACTTTGAGAAACTGGTGGCACGTGCCAAGCAGCTGAACGTGAAAATCATTTTGGACTTTGTGCCCAATCATTCCAGCGACGAGTGCGACTGGTTCATACGCTCGGCTGCCGGAGAGGAGAAGTACAAGGATTACTACATCTGGCATCCGGGATTCGTTGAGAACGGCGTACGCAGGCCGCCCAGCAACTGGGTGAGCGTGTTCCGTGGCTCCGCCTGGGAGTGGAACGAGCAACGCCAAGAGTACTACCTTCATCAGTTCCACAAGAAGCAGCCGGACTTCAACTTCCGCAATCCCGTCGTGCGCGAGGAAATGAACAATGTGCTGCGCTTCTGGCTGGAGAAGGGTGTCGATGGCTTCCGTGTGGACGCCATCTACCATGCCTTTGAGGTGGAGGCCGATGAGAACGGCAACTACCCGGACGAGCCGCGCAACGATTGGACCGACGATCCCGATGAGTACGGCTACACCCACAAGATCTATACGGTCGACCAGCCCGAGACGCCGCACTTGGTCTACGAATGGCGTGAGATTCTGGATCAGTTCCAGAGGGAGCACGGAGGCGACGAGCGGTAAGTTGCGATACGAGTTTGAGGAACTCTACGCGAGGTAACCTATTTTCTATCTACCATATTGCATGCAGCATACTCATGGTGGAGACCTGGTCGCCCATTGATATTGTGATGCACTACTATGGCAACGAGACGGCCGAGGGCGCACAAATCCCCTTCAACTTCCAGCTGATAAGTAATCTGAACGCGGACTCCGATGCCTATCACTACGAGTACCTGATCAACAACTGGCTATCGAAAATGCCGAGCGGCAAGAGCGCCAACTGGGTGGTAAGTGCGAAGTGACGCTAAGAAAAACGCTGGGCCATACGAAATCAATTTCCTGATACGGCCCCACACAGATTGGCAATCACGATAAGAACCGCGTGGGCTCCCGCTTCGGTGCCGAGCGCATCGATCTGTTCAACATCTTGCTGCTGACGCTGCCCGGCTGCAGCATTACCTACCAGGGCGAGGAGCTGGGCATGCTCGACGGCTATGTGTCGTGGGAGGATACGGTGGATCCGCAGGCCTGCAATGGCCACGAGGCGGACTACATGTGGAACTCGCGTGATCCGGCCAGGACGCCCATGCACTGGACAAACGGTAAGCTGGCTGGCTTCACCACGGGCAGCGAGACCTGGCTGCCCGTCGCCGCGGACTATGCCGAGCGCAATGTGCAGACGGAGCGCGGCATTCCACTGAGCCATCTGAACGTTTACAAGCGCCTGCAGCAGCTGCGCCAGGAGCCGGCCATCCAGCAGGGCGCGGCCGAAATCAAGGCTGTCAATGGCTACGTCCTGGCGGTCGAACGGTGAGTGGAATCTTCGGATGAGGCTTACAACTGGCTCACTACAACATTCATAAATTTCTCCAACAGCTATCTGAGCGGCAATTACGTGTACATCTCCCTGCTCAACATCTTCGAGCACATCGAGAATGTGAATCTGAACGATGTGTTCAGCGGCTTGCCCAGCACCTTCCAGTACGCCCTGGTCACCGACAAGTCCATCAGGCAGCTGGGCGACAAGGTCTCCAGCAGCAGCGTCACCCTGATGCCCTACGAGTCCGTTGTCCTGCGCTCCACGACAACCATCTAAGCCAACGGCTGGACTGTGTATCTGCCGTTATCTATCGTATGCACAATAAAGAGCAAATATTGTTTAACTCGATGTGATTTACAATGTCTGTGGAGTTTTCTTTCAACTGATTAGCGATTCTGATTTTGAGCCATAAAAATCATGCTGTCGTCGATAGTGCTGCGTTGCGAGTTTGTATTCATATAAACAGTTATACGTATTCATTTGCGTGTATGTATGGATGTGTGATTCAGTCAAACCGCAAATATAAGCAAACAATCGATAGACGCCGAATTTTAATATACCCTGCGATCATTGTGCGTGGCTTTCATGAGAGTTGTCTACAAGGAAAGAGAGGAAGAGGGCTTTTTAATTTTTGTACACATATATTGATACAGAAATATTGGTTATAAGCAAAGCTTAATTGAACGTGAATACAATATTTTCCTAAAAATGTTCTAATATAGTAAGTAATGTTTTTTTTTAATTTTATTATAATATTTATAGTATTATTATATTGAAATAAATACTACCCAAATAATAATCATAGACAAGACCGAAACTATAAATAAATATATATATAGATGATATAATCAATGATTTACTTACATAAGGATTTTAATATTAAATAAATTAATGAAATACTAAACACTTACACAATGATTATTTCCACACATATTTATTTTAAGTTGCTTAAAATAGATATGCTCTATTCAGCATCAGCTGCGTGGTATAAATATAAAAGGCAAACAAACGATTAAAAATTGTCAGCGACTGTATAGAAAATAAAGTGTGAGAGGTAGAGAGAGAGAGAGTGCGATAAGAGGAGAAAAGCAAATCCGAACAACGAAAGATTGAAAGCTTTCGTTAGATTTGCATGCACAATGGGCACGAAATGAATGCTCACCCGTCAAATTAGTCTATAATTAAATGAGGCAGATAAACAAATATATTATAATGCAATTTTGTTTTTATATTATTGCATTTGTTAAGTGGAATCTGGGTATCAGGTAATTATATGGAATATGTATTGTTAACGCCGAAGGGCACTGCAATCAACGTTATTAAAAAATAAATAATTTAATTGTTTGGGATCATTGAGAAACAGATAATAAAAATTACATATAAACAATTAAGCTACAAATTTGAGGGATTAAATAGAATTAAAAACTAAATTTGAGCTCGCAAACAAAAAATTTTTGTTTTTGCATTTAAATAAATACAGGGAGATTGAGATGAAAAATTAGCTTATGATCATTAAAAACTGTAACATAATATATAAGTACATATTAGACAACATACAAAAATTAAGTTATGTTTTTAAATTACATAATTTTTAATACAAATTTTGTATACATTTATAATTCATTATATTTTTTCAATTTATTTAATATTAAATGTGTTGTGCATAAATTTCGCATTTATTTATATCAGACCACTGTGCCTATTGGCACATAAATGATTCTCATATACACATATATGCACATATGCAAAATTTGCTAATGTGCGCACTTTCATGCTCTCCTTCTCTTCCTCTCTCTCTCTCTCACACTAACTGAAACGCACTCACGACACTTCTCTCAATTTCTAAAGCTTTACCGCTACTCTCTGTGCAGCCGAGAGTCGATTTGCAAATGCTGTGCTCAGCACGCTCTCTGCAGCATTCTTGGCAAGCTTTAAGCAAGCCGGCTGTAAATATAGATTCGTGCAGTCGATCGCCAGTTGCCTTTGTTTGTTTGCGGCGTTCGGTCGGAGAGAGATAGAGAGAGACAGTGCGACTGATCTTAAGGGAAGCAAAGGGGAAACCGAGTGAAAAAGAATGAGCCTCATGGTGGCTTGGCTGCTGCTTCTGCTGGTGCAGTGGCTGGGATCGGCTGTGGCGCAGCCCTTTCCCAATTATCATGCGAACTTTGTGGACATTGAGCAGCACGAGAATGCGCCCAAATGGTGGCAAACGGGCGCCTTCTATCAAATTTACCCAAGGTCATTTAAAGACAGCAATGGCGACGGCGTGGGCGATCTGAACGGTGGGGCAAATGCGAGCAAAACCATGTAAACTAATACGTAATAGGCATTATAAAAGTAATTTGCCTTTGCAGGCATCGCGGATCGTTTGCCATATCTGAAGGAACTGGGCATTACGGCCACTTGGCTGTCGCCCATCTTTACCTCGCCCATGGCGGACTTTGGCTACGACATTGCCAATTTCACGGAAATAGCACCCATCTTTGGCACCATGGCCGACTTTGAGCACCTGATGAAGGTGGCCAAGCAGCTGGATGTGAAGATCATTTTGGACTTTGTACCGAATCATTCGAGCGATGAGTGCGATTGGTTCAAGCGTTCCGCTGCTGGCGAACCGGACTACAAGGACTTCTATGTGTGGCATCCCGGGCGCATGGTAAACGGCACGCGACAGCCGCCCAGCAACTGGCTGAGTGTGTTCCGCGGCTCCGCTTGGCAGTGGCACGAAGGTCGACAGGAGTACTATCTGCATCAGTTCCTGAAAAAGCAACCGGATCTCAATTATCGAAATCCCAAAGTGCGAGAGACCATGAAGGTGTGTTTTTGTGCATAAGAAGAGTGAAGTAGGGAAGGAGTCGAGCAGTAGTAGATATAAGATTACTTGATAAAGGCAATAGATAGTAATAGACAGTAGTAAAAGAGTAGTCAGTAACTAAGTAGATAGAGTAGTGTAGATAGTAGTAGAAACTATATAGAAAAAGTAGTAGTAGTAGAAAGTAGATCAGTAGAGGAGTAGATAGTAGTAGAAACTATATAAAAGATGAAGTAGTAGTAGTAGAAAGTAGATCAGTAGAGTAGTAGATAGTAGTAGAAACAATATAGAATAGGTAGTAGTAGTAGACTAGAAGATTGTAATAGATGATGGATTAGATTAGTAAATAGTAGCAGAAAGTAG